CGCGATATCCGCGGAACGATTGCAAAGAAAGAGATTTAAACAGGATCATGCAACACACGTTGTTCGACCGACCCGATACCATGAATCCGATATCGCGAAACGTTACATCATAGACCAATGGTAGAGATCGACGTGGCATTTGTACGTCGAATAATGACTTGTCAAGACGGATTAAAGAATCGTAGACGGGTTGACGTTGACAATGATATCTTTCATTGAAGAGGAGTCGATCTCGCGGCTATCGATATACACTCGTGATTCTCCGCTGACAACGTCATCTCGATATTCAATGAAGATAATGAATACATAAACGATACATTGTAAGACGTTCAATGTTCAAAAGAATATACCTGTATATCTTCTCGGTTATAATTATAACGCTCGCCGGTGGTAACATGTTAACCAATCTCTGCGGATCTATCGATAAGCCTTCGTGTCGGACGGGCAAAAGAAGACCTGAAAGGATTAGCGGTTCCAAGTAAAAAAGCTCCTGAGGATCGATCGTGGCAAACAATGATGCGTTCAGTTTTAATGGGCTGCGGGTTTCTTGCGGCGGCAAAGACGACGACGATGCTCGGGACATCCGTCGTCGATTGAGTCGCTTCTTCAGGGTGACAATCTCCCCCCTCTTCTCGGCCTGCCACTCGACCACTCGTCGGTGGTCTTCAAGGACCTGTCACGGGGACTGCTTCGTCATTGTCACCGGAAGCTGCGTCCTCGCGGCCCCAAGCAATAGGGAATCTCGATAAGTGCTGCGGGAAGCTATCGAGTTCACGTGTTATTTTCGCCGATCGTGAAAAGTGAAGATTTCTTCTACTTTGTGCCTTGATACGAACCGTCAAATATACTTAACGCACAGACAAGGGATCACGGTCAATGACTGGTGATTTTAGACCGAGTAAAAGGAAAGTTTAAACGATTACCGCCTCTGTTGCTGTTTCTTCGGCGAATGATCTAACGGGTCGACGACCTTAAAAATCGTTCTCGATTCAAACATATACTAGATACTTGAGTGGGTACTTCAATAAATTTTTGTTCAACGAACCAAACCGAATATGGGACGGTAGATCTAAATTGGTTAATTCTACAATAGGAGAACTTAATGATCTAAACTGAATATACTGTAAATTTAAATCCAGTAATTTCGTAGTTGATTTCGATCAAATTAATACGCGATCGGTAGTTCCACGAACAATGGGATTCGTCGCGAGGTATTGCGACACCCACAAAGGGTCTCCGGACGACCATGAAAAAGAGAAGATGAAATCAGGGAAGAATGGACAAAAAAGAATCTTCAATAATGCCAACGCTCCCCGACAATTTTCAGTTTCACTGACTCCACCGGAAGTGGCTTTCCCACTGTTTACGGTGGAATTGAGACGCGTCCCCGTGGATCGTAGGCAGCCGACGTCGACGGATTCGACCTAGACAGTTACCGGATCGGCGAAGAATATGGGTGTCGTAACAAGAACAACGGAATGTTGCATAAAAAAAGACGGGCCTCATTGTCAAGCTTGGTCTCTGCACGCCTGACCGACAAAAACATTTCCCCTCTGTCACGTGACAATTTAACCTTCTAACCTTGATCATTAGAGGATCGTGCAGCTAGAATCCTATTTTTCAGATCCTTGGACTGATCAATATTTCACGGCATTTTTGTTCATAATAACTTTCTTCCATAGACGAAACGCATAAATGAATAGATCCCACACAATTCTAACACCGATTTCATACCATAAGCAATTTTATAAGAATTCAAGAGAGATAGTTTTCTGGAACTATTATTTCTGGAACTGGTAACTGCACACGAATTTGCTTTGCATAGTGATTCACACGCACATCAACGGAACCATCAAATCGACGAAAGAAAAAAAAAATACCGCAAAACTCGACTGTGTTCGCAATCTCACGAGGAAATCTGAACGAGGAAAGTTCAACAACGAAGAAAACAAGAGTCAGGAGCGAAGGCAAAATAGAGGAACACGAAGGTGGGATGAAAGCATAAGCAGGAACCACGAAAGACAAGGATCAGGAAGAGAGGTCGGGTGCAACGGGAAGCGAGCGAAGGGCGGGGAAGGGGGAACGTGAAAGAATTGAACAAGAACGGTAAGGAGCAAAGAGTCGCACGGTGTTCCATAGGCATAGCGGGTCCGACGTAGCGGTAGATACTTCTAGATAATACTCTCATTTACATAGGCAGCCGCATAAATGAAAAGTAATGCGATTCATCGGTGTGCGCGTATCGCGTAAGAATTGTATCTGGGTAAGTGGATGCAGGAGCTTGCTTTCGGACACGATTATCGGTGTGCGATTTCTGTGGCATAGACTGGCAAATTCGTTATCTGGATAAAAGGGTCTTGAATAACGAAGAAAAGATAGAAAAAGAGTAATTCGCCATTTTTCCGTAAAAATTGCAATTTTTATAATAATTTACTGCTTCTTGATTGAGTAGAGGTTTGGGAGACTTTTTTCTTTTGGGAAAAAAACTGTCAGAAATGAATTCAACCGGTGGCAGGTCTCAAGCCTTTGTCGAGTTTGCCTAGCCTAGCATCGATAATTGATTTTCTGACGACTGAGTGAAGTGACCACTGCCTGTGACGATTTCGAGGTCAATTTCTTAGTTTCCGATCTCGGTTGTATAACGTTCCCTGAAATTGAAATCGAGTCACGATTTAATATCGTCGGATCAGAGGTTCGCTCTTTTATGTGAATTATTCGAATTATTTTGTAGAAACAGGAAGAAATTATGAGTAACGCCACCGGTGTCGTCGCGGCGACTTCATAATTAATTAAAGGGTAAAAGCACCGCTTGAACGCAGTCGTTCGACCAAGCGCGCAGTTGTTTTACACCTTCCTGTCGTTTCTCGAAGTTACTCTTGGGTGGTAACCCTGACGTTTCGACGTGCAACCTTCACGGTGTGTCTGTTACCGAACAACAAGACTTCGAGCAAAGTTGCTGTACCTAAAACTTTGTAACATAAGAATCCCTCGGTCCGAGATCTTGCCATCGTTTTCTGGGTGTTACATAGTTAAAAACCATGACCTCTGCTTCTAAACTCCCTAACCCTGTGTCCACCGGATGAAGAACAACATCAAGCTCTGTCAGGAGGTTAAAACTCAGGGGCAGGGTATAATTTCTGTACACAACATGGTAGATACTTCCAAGAGGGATCAAGAGGCATAAACTTTAATTAGACATTTAAAAATGTTCTCTCCAAAAACGTTCCTAGCCCTGGACTATCTTGGAGGTCCAACTGATAGTCTAAATTTACTCCAAAGCCACGTTGGAATCCCTTTCCAAAATACATACGATGACAGTAACCGATTGGATCTTTCCAAAGATCTCAAGCAGCGAACCTTCCTCTACAGAACCCAGTAAATAACCCACCGTTGCTGTAATAATATCAAGTATTATCAGAAATTAATTACTTAAAGTTCTGAAAAAGCGGGCTTGTTTATTTTACGAATTCAAATTCAGTACTAGTTACCTAACAGAAAACCACTATCATTGAACAGAATTATTCCTGCCCCGCAAATCTCCGGAACAAATCACTTCTCCAGCCAATGAACTCTACTACGGCGAGTTTACTCCAGTAGTAAACGGCCGTAGTACGGTTACTCGAGAAACAATCCGAGCAGCCCGACAGTCAGTCACAACGCGTCGTTATCGGCATGAAAGGAGAAAGGCAAACGGATGTGTTGGGTGATCCGAGAATTTCGCAGGAAGAAGTTAACAGTATCGGCGCCCGATGCGTTTCCCGATGCGACTGCAGGCCGGCTCCCGTACCCACGGAGGCTCCCTTTTATTTCTCGTGGAAAAGAAACGATCCAGCTGAATAACGACCGTGAAATCGCGATACGATGTCTTCGTCTTCTGTAAAGAATTAGAGTAGCGACAGGACCCGCTCTCATGAGAATACACATCGGTATCGTCTCGTTTTGGCGCTGTTTTTTCCTACTCGTCGCTTCGTATGCGAGCTCGCGGCCAGTTGTTCCTTTGTCGAATTAGCGAAAGCCTCGTGATCTCATTTATTAGCGATCAGAAAGGGGCAATTCATTATCTAGATAAAAAGTTTCGAATAACGAGTAGAAGATAAAGTGGTACTTTGTTACTTTTTATCGTTTAAACGTGGAAATTTCAGCTTCTATCATGTGGTGTACTGGAGATCTCGTGGAACCCTGTAATTACAATAATTTTTCGAGACTGTCTGCTTCGACGAAGAAAAGCAAAGTTATTAGGCTGATTGTGGAGGATCTACGATGATCTTCTCGCACAGCCTCGCTCAATAATTGAATAAGAACAATTGCCCAGTACCTGGAGCACAGCTAAGGAAGAAGATTCTCCATTTATATTCAAATTGGACTAACAATGTGAAGCTCTTAAAAGTGAACGACGCTTGGGTGAATGAAGGAAAAACATAGAAGCAGTGCCAACACGTTTTTCCCTGGGCTAGTTACACGCTGTACGTGCGCATGCCTCCCTTCCGCAATTTATTTGGAATGCTGTCTTAGGCGCCACACGGTTCGCGCACAGAACACCGAAGAAAATGTAGAGTTACTCCAAACAGTTCTGTTTTTCCGTTGGTTATCTTGCTTTCGTTAACGTAAAGTAATTCAAGTGAACAGAAGATCATTTTGATCGTCTTCGACTGTATCAAAAGCAACACATTGACACGCGTTCCAAATATTTACATCGTACTCTATAGTATTGTACAAGTTTGGAAAGGAATTGTTCGAACCATACGCGTTTTTTTCTCACAAGATAGTATTTATTTGCCATTTGCGTCACATTAATTGACTTGCAATTAAGTATTTATACGGACAAAAGACGCGATTACACTTAATTAATTTAGGCATACAATTATCGCATATATTCGTACATATTCGTTTCTTTTCAAAAAAGATCTTATGTTGTGAATGGATATACTTAATAATCTAACAAAAAATGAAATTTTACTTAAATATACTGAGATAAAATTGCTGTCTCTCCTAAAAATGATTTATCTATACCCCTGAGATTTGTTCGAACACTTCTTTGGAAGACTATAATTAACAAATGGCAGACACTGGATATCTTCCTGCAGACACTGTCTGCACTTCCTGCAGACTTCAGTAAATCGAAACCATTCAGTTAAATTTTTACAATGGGTACTATGAATTTTAAAATCACCTATCTACTCAGAACTCCAACTTAAAGTTCTTCGAAAACAAAATGTCTGCATATAATGTGCAATACTAACTAATAATCTCGTGAATCAGTACGAAACAGATGCCTCTGGATCAATTGTACAACCGGACCAATACGTCAGACAGGACCGTGACACTGTTCAGTAAACGAAAACTCTCAGTTCAATATTTACAGTAGATTCTACAAATTTAAAAATCAACCGTTGCCTGAGAACTCCAGGCTAAATATAAAATAATAATAAAAATAAGATGTCTCCATATAATGTTAAATACTAACTAATCTTAATGCATACGAAGCAAATGTCTCTGGGTCAACTGCACAACCGGACCAATACATCGGAAAGGACCGTAACACTGTTCAGCAAATCAAAACACCTCAATTAAATTTTTACAGAGGCTGCTACAAATTCTAAAATCACCTGATTGCGAAATCCAACCTAAGATTCTATAAAAATAACATATCTCCACATAACATTCGGTACTAACTACTGATCCCGTGAACTGTTACGAAGCAGACGTGTCTCTGGGTCAATCGTACAACCGGACCAATACGTCGGAAAAGACCGTGAAGGAACGCGTGTGGCGTCGCAATCGACCGCGGAGCGCCTTGACTTTCTCCCTATTGTGATACGCTCGCGGTATACACGAACACTTTATTTTTTTTTTTATGGACACGCGTAATTACTCGATCAACGTGAGTGGCCGCGGACGTGTCGAGATCCCGGGCGCAAGATAAAGCCCCGTCCACACGAGAGCCGAACATCCGAGGTGTGTATACGGGACCGAGACCGGCGAGCATGTGGGTGAAGGCTGCGGAGGGCTCTCCAGGATGTGTCGAAAGTGAAACCCCCAAGGCCTCGTGCACCTTCTTCGCCATGTATGTGCGTATGTATCTGTACATAAGTACGCTTACACGAGGAGGGTCTCTCGATCGTCCTCGACGCGCTCGATCATCGTTACGGATCGGTATCGATCTTCTCCCCACGGCTGAAAATGTGACCGTGAACGGAACAAGCGAAATATCCACCCACGGATCCGCCGTTGCGCAAACATCATTCTTCTGTTCCTTCTTGCTTCGATGAGCCCACCCGTCGTTATTGTCGGTAGTATACATGCCCACTTAGTATATTCCCTTTTTCCACTCGCTTTCACGTTCACCGATGCAGATTTTGAAACGGAGTCTCCCCGACGACGCGATTTATTCCTCGTCGTCCTCCCGTAACCCCACGAAGCCAGACGAGAGACCGTACTTCTTCTCTTTCGCCTCGAAGTCGAAGGGACACCAGTTCCCGTGAAACTCTGACAGGATACGATCCATCACCCTCCACCAAGACTTCTCTCTCAGAGACGGTAACTTCTTTCTCGGTTAACCCAATATTATGACGCAAACGCGTATAAATCTATCGCAATCGTTGGCCACCACTGGCCGCAGAAACGACGTCCTCGAGCATCGTTCGTCTCGCTGGCCCAGTTCTCCAAGATATATTTATTCGGGCGATCAGACGAAAACTTAGCGAAACGCCCGTATAACTTTCTGTGAGGGAAATGTTTGGAAATTGTGGGTTGAAGTGAAATCGAATTTACGAACAGTCCTCCTTATTTCTTGGTCCTTTTGGAGAGCGGGAGAAGGCGGGTTATGACGATGCACACTGGAATAGAGATATGAGTTACGATATTTTTCAACGGTGGGAATTGGCTGAAAAAATGGGTCGCTTACTGAAGACGAAGCCGGACAATGCGATCATGGGCGCCAGACATCCGTAACCCAGTAGAACGGGGAAGAGAATGTTACCGATGATCGATCCCGTTCTTCCGGAGCACATTACTAAGCTCACTGCGATCGTTCTGTTTCAGGACAGTCAATACAATTACTTAGTGTTCTTTAAAAATTAATATTTCATATTTATTACTGACTTGATTGATAAATAGTAGGTATAGTAATAAATAGTTCTGATATTTTTTAAGAGGATAACAAATAGGCATGTCTTCTGAATTTCAATTTAGTAGTATTTTGACTTGCTTGGAAACGAACACTGAATTTATGGAAAATAGTGGCCTAATTATTCGTATACCTAAATTTTCCTGTAGATAACGTAAGTTTTGTAAATGTTAATAATAATACTTTATTTTACTATAAGACTGACCTGGACCAAAATTAATTTAAAGAAAAGTTCGAACCGTAAAGACGTTGGAAAGAGAATAACAGCCACGCCAACGACGATGTTCACTGTAGTATTCGTCAACCCAGTGAATATACAGGTTAATATTAACGTTACCCACGTATTGGTCGACCAATTCATGTACACTATACAGATGAAAGCGATTCCGTAACAGATAGCTGTAACAAAATCAACAAAGACATCATTTACACGTTGGAAAATCTGTAACGTAATAATATTCTGAACACTCACACAGCAAATTCTTGTGATTCAGAACATGTAGGACGAATCTGGCTACTAGAATGAGAATGCTTCCAGTGGTAGACATGAGAACAGTGTTCATGTAAATCGATTCGTTGACGACCTTCTGTAAATCATAAATCAGATCGTACGATTACCGAAGTCTGTGAATCCTTAATTAATACCTCGTCGATTGTATCGGAGAAAAATCTGAAAGAAGGAGTACGAACACAATTCTCTTACGTTTACACAAGTTAACTCTTCCACTTGTGCTGCCTTCTGCACAGTTGAAAGGTCCATGATTTCACAAAATGATGATTCGTTTCCTGTTGTATTATAATTCATGGATTCGAAGTTGCCCAGTATGGTGAAGAGTTCAGGCTGCCATAAGCGAATGGTGTTTGTCCTGAAAAAAAGACGGAAAGTATAGAAAAATTCAAGAATGTTATTGAACACGTGGAATTAAACGTGATTAAGAATGTCATGTTCTGTCGTGGAATTTTATAATAATCGATCACGGTGCGTGGAGCTTTCAATTAGTAATCTCCCTTTTTCTGACGTCAGGAAATATCGACAAGCGTCACAGTATCGTGTATCGCGCGAGTTAAAGCAGCGTGCTCATAGATTAAGCGAACGTGACGTTTGTAATTACGGAAGCGGTTAACAGATACGGAGTTCCGGTGCGCTAATAAAATTGTATAAACTTTTCTTTGCATTCCAATCCGTATTACTCAAACTTAAACACCTGCAAATTCGTTCCTTTCTCTTTCCC